TACTATTATATGTATTTGATTTTACAACAATTTTCACCATTCATTTTAGCTCAATGACAAGAAGAAGGGACGCAGAAGGAGGAGGTCAGGGGTTCAAACCATGAAAGGACTATGTTTATGGTGATAATATCTTGTTGGTGGAGTGGCGAGTGATGTGGTGACACTTGGCAAGTGGCCAGTCAGTGACGATATGGTGGTGGCCGACGGTGATCCTATTTTCTCCAATGACACTTTCAATGACAACTTTTGTGTCGCCGCTGATAAGTTTCAGTGATAGTCACTATGGCAATGACTTGGCTGTCACCTCTAAAAATCAATTTTTTTGCAATGAGTTTTCTCTATATCCATAAAAATTATATGTAAATGTTTTTCTTAATTTTGGAACTTTTCCATCAACCCCATTAGGAGATAAATAGCCCCTTCCTTGAAGCCCGTTTTAGCATAAATACAATAAGTTCTCTAGGTTATTAGTTCCATCGTAGGAAGTGAGCAATATATGTATTGAGTTATAGAAAACAGTTAGGTGGAAGATTAATGCATGTGGAGAGGTTGTTTTGTTGTGAGAATGCTGGTTTTAGCTTGGAGAGATGATTTTTGAAATGTGGAAAATTTTCTAGATTATGACATTGGATGCCTCTTGATTTTTAGGGGTATTTGAATGAGCTAAATGTTAATGTATATGATGCATACTAAGCTTTTTCTTGTCTGTTTATTTTCTTACTCTTTTCCTAACGGTTCACTTGTTAGAGTTTTAGTATATGACTGTGTCAAAAGAAGTTCCATATTACTCAAGACTGAAAAAACCTTAGTGTTTACTAAGATGTGAGTTTGAGCTAATAAAATGGCCAAGAAGAGGAGTCTTTAGAACTGACCCTTAGATATGACCGTTGAAACATTTGTGTTTTAATTAGTCGGTTTTATTCTTTCATTAACCAGATTTAAGGGCCTTAAAATGTTTTAATTCACTTTAATCAATTGTTTAAAAACTGCCTTTTGAATTGTCATTAAAACTATCTTTAATTACCATCATGACAGCCCTGTGATCACATATTATCTGCCTATAAAAGGCAATGCATGGTGCATGGTTAGATAGTGTTGAATTCTATCCCTGAACTCTGCTCCCCTCTCTCTTCTCCTGAGTTTCAAGTTTTTGTTGTTCTGCTACCATACTCTATGCAAGAAGAATTCATTTAATCTCGAGGACTGCAGCTTTTTATTCTAGTCTTGTGTGATGGAATAACTCTTAAGGACAGTATCTTTAAACAGGACTTGAACTATATTTTTATTAATTTTGCAAGTATTGATAGGGAGGCTAATGGGTCTCCTAAACGTCTGCTAGCAAAACATGTCAATATAGGCATGGGATTTGAAAGATTGACCTTTGTAATTTAGAATAAAATGAGTAATTTATGACACTGATGTCATTTTGCCTATCTTTGATGTCATTCAATAGGTTTTTCTATTTTTATAGTTAAATTTGACTGTATTTAGCTATGCAAAAAAAATATAACATGAATGACTCATTGTCCACTCGGTTTTTGAGGACATAATCATTATGGAGGAGAGATGGCCGAGTGGTTCAAGGCATAGTATTGGAATTGATTGATATGTAGGCTTTTTTTTTACTAAGGGTTCAAATCCCACTCTCCACTACAAAAGAATAGCTCATTATCGATGAAATTAGTGATAAAAAATTATTCAATCACTAATTTTTGATGGATTACCGATGAAAATTTTGTCACTAAATTTAGCAATGGATTAGTCAAGGAAATTTTATTCTGTTGCTAAGTGTTGTCATTAAATGATTGTATTATATACAGTACATTGAAAGATATAATATATGACGGAAATTTAAAACCGAGACATCAATTTATGATTATAGATCAAACTAATGTTGAAGAGAATTTTGAATTTGAATCATGAAACAATGAATTTGATCAGGATTTAATTAATCACTCATGACATAGATTAATTTCGGCTTTCAAAGCAAAGACCAATGATATATACAAAAGGTTGTTTAAAAAAGAAATTATGTAGGATGCAAACATAAGTTGTATAAGGGTATTTATTATAATATATTCAAATCATTTAATTTTTTATATAGAATAATTTATTAGATTTTATTATAATAGTTTTCATAACTATATTTTTTTTTACTAATTATAAACTATTTTCATCAAATATATATAAAACAAAAATAGATAATATAATATATTGCATAAATAATTAAACTATATATCTAAGGGAAAATGACAATTAGGTCCCACTCAAGGGAATTAAATATAAAAAGGTCCCTTGAAATCATGAAATTATTTTAAAGTCCCAAAATTTTTTTTGCATTAAATTTTATTTGTTTACTTACCAAATTACCCTTCTTTTTTTTTTTAAGTTTGCATTGACAATTGAAAGAGCAGTGGTTGACAACTTAGGGTGCAAGAATTGACAACTATCGCGGCTGGTTTGACAACTTATGGTGTGATATGCTGAGAAAATGTGTTGTCAAACTAGCCGCGATAGTTGTTAATCCTTGCACCCTGAGTTGTCAACCACTGCTCTTTCAGTTGTCAATACAAATTAAAAAAAAAAAAGAAAGATAATTTGGTAATTAAAAAAATAAAATTTATTGCAAAAAGGTCCCTTGGGACTTCAGAATAATTTCATGATTTCAAGGGACCTTTTGCATTTAATTCCCTTGAGTGGGACCTAATTGCAATTCTCCCTATATCTAATCAATGTTAATTAAAATAAAAATTAAACTTTTAAAATATATTTGTGAAAAAATATTTATGATTTAAAATTCAAAATTAGTTTCATTTGAAATTAATATAATATTATAGCAAAAAAAATTTTTAAAATAAATAAAACTTATAAAATAAACATAAAACAAACATTTAAAAACTATTTTGTCATATTAATAGTTAAAATTAAAATTATCTTATAATGTATTTGTAGTTTTTAATAATATATATATGTATATTTATAATTGTATGGGTAAAAGAATACTATATATATATATATATATATAAATATAATTTTGCATTAAAAGACTACAGGTTTATTGCAGCCTCACTAGCAAAGACACATGTGTGCACACACGAAGTCCAAAGAGTTCAAGTCATGAAGAAGTCACATCTGAGGAAGAATTATGTGGTGGTGGAACTAAGGTTGTAGTGACACGTGGTGGTGGCCAACGATAAGGTGGCAGTGCCAAGTGAAATTTCAATTTTTTTAAAAATCAAATTAGTGACTAAATTCTGTCACTATTCCATCACCCTGTTAGTAATTAGCAAAAGAATCATATCTTCACTAATCAGTTGCTAATTCGTGACGGAACACATTTTATCATTAATTAGATTTCGTCATGTTGCTAAATAAAAATTTTATTACTAAGTTTTGTCGCTAATCACATGTTTATTTGTAGTGCTTTCCATATGCTCTTTTACCTAATTCATCATTATTATTGTCTGCAATGTTTTAAATAATAAAATGTATCATTATTTCTTTGATGTGGATTCTCTATCCCTATCTTTTGGAGTACTGAGAATGCTGGAAGGAGGGGACAAGGAATGCAATCAATATAGCCAAAACTACACCTATAACCCAAGCCAATTCGAGAGATATGATGGTGACCATTCTTATGAATTCTTTGTTTTACGGTTTTCTAAATTGAAGATATTCCATATATTTCATTGCTAGATATAGACTTCACAGCTTTCAGCTGGCTTATCAACTTCGGAATTCTTCTTTCTTTTGGCGATCTCAACTTACGTTTCATAGTTTTTGTCTCTCCAGCTTCCTCATGCTGCTCAAACGTGATTTTGGAGGATAATAGTTCATGTTGCTCAAATTTTTCTTTACTGTCTCTATTGATGTTGTCGAACCTTCTTATTTTCACTCTTTACTTTGATCTTGTGTCTGCTCTTTTATTTTTCTACGCTATAACTTTTTATTAATACCATTTCGACTTTTCATCAGGGAAAAGATCACACGGCTCAGTTTTGAACATGGTGCAAAATTTCAAGCATGTTGGTCATAAAGGTGCATATTATTGAATGGTTACTTCACAATATGCTAGCCTTAAATAATTATGCTAGGGTGATGAGTTGTTACCATTAAATGAAGTCTTTGGCTTTTCTTACATTCTAGGATGATTTGTTATGGCTTTATGAGTTTTCATTAATAATAATAATAATAATAATAATAAATTTTTGTCGTTTGGGTAAAATGATTTACAATAAATATTTATTACTACAAAAAGAATCATTTTCATTCCCTATTTTCGTCAGAAATTGAAAACAAAGGAGAAAAGGGTAATATGTTTGTTTGGTTACACTAAAAAAACAAGTATAAGGCCTCATACTTGTCTATTGGACCAGAATAGATGAATATGGGGCTGTATACTTGTCTGGCCACTTTATATAATTATAAAATATAAAGAGATAATTCTCACTATCTTGATAATATTTATTATATTATTTAATTAATCTAATTTTTTTTAGCAATAATAGAACTTTTTGTTCTTAAGTTTGCCTCAATTATTAATTTAGTTTTTTAAAATTTGTTTTTATCAATCAAATCCCTGAAGTTTTATAATCATAGATAATTAATTGGTGTTCAAATGGAAAACAACATCTTATTAGAAACTAATTGTATATTACTATAAAATTTTAGAGACTTAACTGATAAATATTAAATTTCAGGGATTACTTGAGGGGAAATTCAGGACAAAAAGTTTTATTATGCCTACTTTTCATTTTTTTTTTGGCCAGCGCTACTAATTTTTATTCTTAATCTTCTATTTATTTTTCATCTCATCGAAATTTTTCTCCCTTTTTTTTTCAAAATTAAATACATCATTAAGAAAATTGCAAACAAAGACCCTGAAATATATAAAATTATAATTTGAGTCCTTGAATTTATATAATTTCTGTCAGAGATCCGGTTCAATTAGAAATTATGAAATGTTGATTAAAAGACAAAAATATCCTTATGCTTTCCCTAATCCTTTGCCGTCATGCCCGACTTTCTCTTTCTTCACTCTCTGACTGCTCTCCCTCTTCCTTTCTTACGGCGACAGCGAGATAAGTAATGGCAAGGACGACAGTGGTGAGTGAATGAAGGAAGGCGATGATGAGTGAATGAACTATGGCAAGGATGGCAATGACGATTATTCTGGGTTCAATTTTCCCTCCCTAACTTGTCTTCCTCTTCCTTGGATTTCTGGTTCAAGTGTTTCAAGTTATCCCCACCAAAGTCATCTGGTAAAGACACATTAAGCAAATTCGAATACATATCTACATTATAAACAGAGTGAAACCAGAGTTTTATTGTCGCAAGACCTTCTGCGAAAAAGGTAGGTTCAATGTATTGTTTACGGGCTCTGGCAGAGAAGCTTTTTATATTGATAATTCTAAATGCTGGTTTTCCATATCCTGCATTATGTTTTGCTTTATATTTGTATTTTGGGTTTTCATATAACTTGAAATATCTATCAAAATTCATATATTGGTTTATGCGAATGGTGGGTGGTTTAGCTGGAGGAAATGTCGAGAGGGCAAGGGGTTATACGCTTGTACTGTATGATAAAATATATACTAAAATAAAAAGTTTAGAGTTTAGCTTTCATGAATTATGAAAGGCAAAAAGGTGTTACTGTTTAGCACCCTTACTATCTGCTAAGATTAGTCAGCCCGCCGTAACTGTCAGCTTTCAATCGTATTGGCCTCTTTTTAACCATGTAGGTTCCTCTTAAAAGCTTTTCTTTTTGAATTAATCAAATGGCTTTGAGAGGGGTTTGGCAACTGCAAAAACTAATTGCAAGCTATTGTGATTGGGGTGGAAGTAGCAGAGGAATAAGGTATGCTTCTCAATATTACAATTTCAAGTTTTGTTTTGCATTTTGATCAAGGTTTATTTGTTTGTAGCGTTTTGTGCAAAATTAATTGCAGGGGTGAATTTAAATACTATTGTATCCAACATGCCGTTATATATGTTATATTGCTCTTATGATCCGTTTCTTTCATTTTACGATAATAAGCGTGTTGTACTTTCATTTTTCACATTTTTAGTAGGTCTAGTAGTTATAGGTTACCAATTGTGATATATTCAAAAACACATTTTTCTTGTTACCTAAATAATATAATTTGTTGTTGGATACAAATTAAGAGCTTAAAATCATCATGATCACCCACTGATTTTTAATCATAAGATTGACTCATCACTAGTGTGCTACATTTGAATTTGAGGTGTCTGAACGAAGACAGTTTATGATACTCACTTGAGCTACTGGGTCAAAGACCATGGAGAAAGAATGCTAAGTGATTCACTATTGTGGTAATTTAAGTAATCAATGGTTGTTACTGTTTTGGTATATTCTACATTGCTCATATCATTTTGTCCTTTTGTTTGGTTTCTTCCTTTCTTTATTCTTTAGTGCTTCTCTATAAGGTACTTAAATAAAATTACAAGGAAGAATTGCTGCTTCAATAATTTACGTGTGGATTTTTATCTTCAATATGAACCTCAGCCATCATCCTCAAAAAACTTGCACCATCTATTCCAAAGTAAGCTTCATTTACTTTCCACTTGGCATCCTCCTGTGGCAATCATGTTATGTCTGCTCGAAATTTGCGTGGCTTCTAGTTTTAAACAGCCTTAAAACTATCATTTGAATTCTAAGTCTAATACCATTGCTCTTTTTCTTACCAATTACTACTACGTATTATCTTAATGGCAATCACGTTGAGTCTTTTCTGTACAATCTGAGGAGCGATTTGAGTACTTCTGACTTGTTCACAATGGAATTCTCGTGTTATGTTTACTATTGATTTGAATATCCTGTTCACTTTTGAACTAAGTCAACACTGCCTCTAATGAATTTATTTATTTACAGTGATTCGCGAAGGTACTTTCTGTCAGAATGACTATGGAATCCTAAAAAATCTGAGAATATATGGCCAGCTGAAATTGCCAGAATTCAATCTTGGCGACATACCCAAATCATTACCTTTATGGATGGCTTATGGAGGAAATGATGCTTTAGCATATGCGATTGATTTTGCTCACACTCTGAAGGAACTACCATCCACACCAGAACATCTTTTGCTTGAAGATTATGGTCATTTTGACTTTATCTTGAGCTTAAAAGCTAAAAGAGATATTTATGACCATATGACTAGATTTCTTAAATCTTTTGGAAACTATAGTGGCTTTGCTAGTCCCCAACAACTATGGGGGGATGTAAATAGTGCATCGGTTGCTTAGCTCTCTGTAATGTTTGTAAATCGTGGATTCTGGTTTGTCTTCTCTTCTCTGTGTATAAGTAAACTCAAAACTCAAAGCACACTTGGGAGACTTTACAATCTACAACTTCAGTATCTAATCAAATGTTTTGGGAACTCAAATGTTACATGTCTAATCAAATCTTATGTCTTTATTTTTACGCCAATATTGGTACCACACATGATCCTTCATTAACAAACTCATTAATTATGTTTTTTTTTCCCCCATATGTAACACATACTATTCCACTCATTCAACTCCTAATATGTACAATCACTATCATATTTTAGTTAGCTTCTCATCATGTGTGTGTATAAATTTCTATTTTTTAAAACAAAAATTGTGAAAAAAAAGACAATGAAAAGCATCAGTTCCATAAAATACTGAAAATAATATGCAATCAGATGATTGTTAAGCTTCCTGACATGTGTTGTGCATCTCTTGCAAGCAATCAGATGGTTTTAATGAGGAAAAGGATCAGATAGCTCACTGCCAGCTTTCATATTTTATTTCTTGTCCAGTTGTCCTTTCATCTCACGTATGATTCATGAATTACCAACACTTTTTTAACCCAAGCAACATTTTTCTTCTCTTCAAAACGACTACCAGTACATTTTTATCTCATATTAGACTTGATATTAACAACGAAATTGTAAAAATAATATGAATTTTTGTTAAAACTTAAGTTAATTTGAATAGTTTTTTTAACACTTAGTATTTCTCATACTAGACTTGTTATTGATAACTAAATTGTGAAAATAATACCAATTTCGGGTAATATTTAAGTTAATATGAATAGCTTTTTAAAACTTGTTATTTCTCAAACTGGACTTGTAATCTCCTATTTTAGATTTGTAATTCCCTATTCCCTATTACAAACTTGTAATTCTCTATTTCAAAGTTGTAATTTCATATTTTAGATTTGTTTTTTTCTATTACATACTTGTTATTTTCGATTGCAGATTTGATATGATTCTTTCTGCTACATCTAACTACAGCCATTATGTTTTCCCTGCACAATTCTTTCATTTGAGTTGCCTTATAAAAATATCCGTGTTGTTCCTCCAATGGCTATAGAGGTTGTTGTAGCAGCTTGAGAGGCTTGCTTGACAAGAGTATATTGATTGATCTTTATGATGATAGTGATATTTCTAATATGTTTAGATATAGTGATAGTAGTGCTCATTTGTATATAGCAGTCAAAGGAAATGATAGGAAATCTAGAGTAATGAATGATACAAAAATGTAAGTGCTTATGTTTTTACCGTAAGTTGTTATTTGGTAATGAATTGTTACTGATTCGTTTACTAGACTTGTAATTTTCATATTTGGACTTATTATTTTACTAACTAAACTTATAATTTTCATATCCAGACATGTCATTTCACTTATTAGACTTATAATTTTCATATTCAGATTTGTTATTTCACTTACCAGACTTGTAATTTTTCTATGTAGACTTGTTATTTGACATACTGTACTTGTAATTTTTATATTTAAACTTGCTGACTAATGGTTTGTTACATTAAAGTTATCCAATAACCTTCATAGTAGAACACTTATAAACACTAAGATCAAAACTGAGGAATAAAATCTGAGTTGAAAAGCTAGTGACATTAACTTAAGTTTTAATAGAAATTATATTATTTTCATAATTTAGTTGTTAATGACAAATCTAGTATGGAAAATAACAAATATTAAAAAGCTATTAACAAAATTTAAGTTTTAGTAGAAATTGACATCATTTCCACAGTTTAGTTACCAATGATAAGTCTAATAAGGAAAATAACAAGTATTAAAAAGCTATTGACATGAACTTAAGGTTCAGCAGAAATTGGCATTATCTTCATAATTTAGTTGCCAATGACAAGTCAAATATGAGAAATAACAAGTGTTGAAAAACTATTTACAATAACTTAAGTTTTAGAAGACATTGGTATTATTTTCATGATTTAGTTGTCAATGACAAGTCCAGAATGGGAAATAACAAATGTTGAAAAGCTATTCACAATAATTTAAGTTTTAGCGTAAATGGCATTATTTTCATAATCTATTTGCTAGCAATAAGTTTGGTATGGAAAATAATAAGTGTTGAAAATTTATTGATATTAACTTATATTTTAACAAAAATTGGCATTATTTTTGTTGTTTAATTGTGAATGACAAGTTTAGTATGAAAAATAACAACTTTTCATAAACTTCATCTCCAATATAGTGAAATAAAGTGTAACCCATAGCCACACAATGGTAAAATATGGCAATGAAATGAGGAGGGTGAACTAGAATCTCTACTATATTATATTTAAGGAAAAAATATAGAAGATGGAGAGACCGTATAATCCATTGTCACTAACGCAGGCTTAATTGAGCTAACCATATGTATTCCCTTCTCATATGCCCAATGATATTCATACCCACAAATTAATAAATTCAACAAAATCAAATTAGCCTTAACAATCCTAATGAAATGGCACCCTATGTGTTGTTTCTCCACTGCAACATTATTCGAGCAAGGGAAATATCGTAAAGACAGGAAAATGGTTCTATGACAATGACTTGGTGGAAATAAACATTCACAATCAAGAATGGAGCCAGATCCGTTGCAAGAAATGTCCAGAACCCTATGGTCCCGTTTGATACGAAGCATTAAAAATGAAAGATTGAGATTAAGATTGCAATTGAAAAAATCATTAAAATAGTATTTAGCATAAGTAATTGCGTATTATATGGGATTAGCTAAACCCATAGAGGTGGGATTAGAGAATGTTACTTCCTCCCATGGTATTCTCCAATCCCATATATATGGGTTTGGCTAATCCCATATAACAAGCAAATATCTTATACTAAATACTCTTTTAATAAATTTTTTTAATTGTAATATCAATCTCAATCCCTTATTTTCAATGCTTTCTACCAAACATAACCTATATTCCTCTTGGTCGTCAAAAATTTCTTTATCATATGAAGTGTTCTAAGACCTGAAATTGGCCTATTACAAATCCAAACACATTAACTTGTTCAAATTTGAGCAGAGAAGGGAGGAGGACACCGTCATCACTGTTTTAGATTTTCTTCTTCAACGGCAGGAGTCGAGGGAGGAAAGAGGGTGGGGCGGATGGGGGGTTCGGAGAGAAAGAGAAAGAAGAGGAAGGAGAAGAAAGAGGAGAGGGAGAGGGAGCGGAGAATGAAAGGGAAAGAGAGGATGGGGGCTTTTTCTTTCGGGAGAATTTCAGTAAAAGACCATTGTAGCATCTTATTTAAAAAGAAAGACCAAGAAATTCTGAAATCTCATTTCACATTTTAAAGTCTGAAATGAAAAAAAGTTTAAAAACAAAATATCTAAACTACCCTTAATCTGAAATGAAGAGTCAAGAAAAATGAAAAAAATTGAGCAAGAAAAGACAAAAGACCGATTGTCTGGAATATTTACAAAATGTCCTAATGGGTGTTGCTGTGTCGCACTGTTATATTTTTGTGTGTGTTATGTATTTTACATTTCATTTAATTTATATATTTGTAATTTTTTTATTCCTACAAAATTTTCTAAAACTCCTCTAAAATTGAAAGGATTAGTAATGCTTAAATAATCATAATATGTCGATTTGAAAAATACATTAATATTTTTATTTAATCCTACTTAATATTATTGATTTACTCATTTTGAAAATTGTAACTCATTGTATTTATTAATAAATTTATAAGTGTTAATAAACATTTTAACAAGTACTCATCCGTGGAATAACAAGTTTTATGATATGCAAAATCTTGCAAATCTTTACTTTCATAAACATGTTTTACTGGTCAAATGTGAGTTATATTTTTGCCATCTAATCCATTTAATCATGTGCTGGAAAAAAAACATGACAAAATAAATACAAATATCTAAATATAAATGAACATGAGAAATAAGAAGACTAACAAAAAAAATTATAAAATTTACAAGAAATATAAGGAAATTTACAATACTATTTAAGGTTCTATAAGAAAAAAATATATGCCAAGATCTACATACACAATTAAAATAAGAAAATTTACAATGAAAATTAGATGTTTCATAAAAAACGTTGAAAAATTTAACAACAACATATAAAGGAATTAACAGCAAAAATTAGAAAATTTACAACAAACATAAGAAAATTAACAACAAAAATTAATTGATTTACAAGACATGTAAGTGAATTGACAACAAAAATTCAGCAATTTACAATAAATATAAAAGTATTTACAATAAAAATTAGGTGATTTGCAATATACATGAGGCCTAATTTTTGTTAATAATTCTCTTATATGTTGCTGTCTACTCCCTTATATTTTTTTATAAATTGCCTAATTTAAGAGGATTTACAACAAAAATTAGGCAATTTACAAGAAACATAAAGCTTAATTTTTGTTGTTAATTCCATTGTCTGTTATCATTAATTTTCTAATATTTTTTATAAATCGCCTAATTTTTGTTGTTAATTCCCCATATGTTGTTGTTAATTTTCTTATGTTTTTCCGAAATTGCCTAATTTTTGTTGTTAGTTCCCTTATATGTTGTTGTAATTTTTGTAAATATTTTTCTCTATACAGAATCTCAAATGATATTGTGAATTTTCATATATTTCTTGTAAATTTTCTAATTTTTATTGTTACTAATTCATATTTATATATTGACATTTATTTTGTCATATATTTTTCTTTGCATCAATGATTAAATAGGTTAAAAAAATATAACTCACATTTGATCAGCAAAAATATGTCTATGAAAAATGAAAATTTGGTTATTAATGAGAACGCATAAGGGTGATGGATTTGCATTAGTTAGAGTTGTTTTGGTCCTTTTCTCTTATCAATTTAATTTTATGATGGGGCTTAAGAGATTGATTTAAAGTTCTAGATTTTTTTAAGGACTTTTTGTTTAATAAATCCAACAAATTAGAATGAAAGGAAAGAGTATAGACTTGCAGGATTTTTCATATCATAACAATTGTTATTCTGTGTAGAGTACTTGTCAAAATGTTTATTACCACTTATAAATTTATTAATCAATGAATACAATAAACTATACTTTTTAGAATGAGGAAATAAATAAAATTAAGTAGGATTAAATAAAAGTATTAATGTATTTTTTCAAATCAACATATTATAATTATTTAAACATTACTAATCATTTCAATTTCAGAGGAGTTTAAGAAAATTCTGTAAGAATAGAATAAATTACAAAAATGTAAATTAAATGAAATGTAAAATGTATAACACACAATTAATAATACAACAATGCGCCACCATATTGGGTCATTACTGCGAAGATTTTATATTTTTATATATCCCGTCTTTTATTTTTTCTTCTTCAAGTTTCTCTTTTTTTTTTCGGCTCTTTATTTCAGGTTAAGGGTTATTTTTTTTCAATATCCAGTTAAGGGTATTTTGGATATTCTGTTCTCAAACTTATTTTCATTTCAAATTTTAAGGTCTGAATTGAGATTTCGTCTTTCTCTTAATACGATGCTAGAATGGTCTTCTACTAAAATTCTCTCTTTTTTTCTCCCTAAACAAATGGGGGTATTTTGGTCTTTTCATCAATATATAATTATAATTTAGGACCCATTCATTGGTAGTAATTATGTTAATTCAAATATCTATTTCGTAATTTCATAATTTTGAGTATTTATTTGCCATGTTCCTTACATCACTCGTATTATTTTCTTGTTGTTGTTTTTATTTTATTGTTTTATTTCCAAATGATAATACTGTAGCTATTAAACCGCACATTCGTCTGTAGTCGCTTTTGCCTGGAAGCGATTGAAAAGAAAACTGCACCTTCGTCTCTAGTCGCGTCTCAAACTCTTTATGTAAGAAAGGCAGCTACTCCGGTGATCCGAACTCCATCTTTTGGCGGTGGTTGGTGACTTTGTTTATCGTCGAAAGCTAAATAAGTAATACTTTCCGCTTCTTTCTGTTTTAGTTTCTCAGAGTCAGAGTTTCAGTTTTTCCTTTAGAGCCATGGTCTTCATTGTGCCGCCCAACCACAGAACTCTATTTCTAGATGTTGATCCGAAGACGACCTCCCTCCATGCCCTAAAGCTCTCTATCCAGCAAACTTCCGACATTCCCATATCCCACCAACGTATATTACTTTCACAGAGTCTCCGATTGCTTGGTGATAATGATTCCGTTCTTATCTCCGATCTCGGGATTCAACCATACTCCACTTTAACTCTTCACGTTCCCTTCTTTGGTGGCACTCAACCGCCTGCCGTTCCCAAACCTCGATTTGATTTCCTTAACTCCAAGCCTCCCCCTAATTATGTTGCTGGTCTCGGTCGTGGGGCCACGGGATTCACCACCCGTTCGGATATAGGGCCTGCTCGTGCAGCGCCTGACCTACCCGATAGGTCGGCGACTACTATTGGTGGTGCTGCCCCTGCGGCTGGCAGGGGAGGAGGGAAGGGAGGTGAAGACGAGGAAGATGATGACGGGGATGATAAAGGGTACGATGAGAATCAGAAATTTGATGAGTTTGAAGGGAATGATGTGGGGTTGTTTGCTTCTGCTGAGTACGATGAGGATGATAAGGAAGCGGATGCTGTGTGGGAAGCAATTGACAAGAGAATGGATTCAAGGAGGAAGGATAGGAGAGAAGCAAGGTTGAAGCAGGAGATTGAGAAGTATCGGGCGTCCAACCCCAAGATTACTGAACAGTTTGCGGATTTGAAACGTAAATTACATACTATGTCTGCATCAGAGTGGGATAGTATACCCGAAATTGGGGATTATTCTTTGAGGAATAAGAAGAAGAAATTCGAGAGTTTTGTCCCAGTGCCTGATACACTTCTTGAGAAGGCAAGACAGGAGCAAGAACATGTTACAGCATTGGATCCCAAGAGTAGGGCAGCTGGGGGTACCGAGACTCCATGGGCTCAAACTCCAGTTACAGATTTAACTGCAGTTGGTGAGGGTAGAGGTACTGTGTTGTCTCTGAAGTTGGATAGACTCTCAGATTCGGTTTCAGGGTTGACAGTTGTCGATCCAAAGGGGTATTTGACTGATCTTAAGAGCATGAAAATAACAAGTGATGCAGAAATCTCGGACATCAAGAAGGCTAGGTTGCTACTTAAGAGTGTTACACAGACAAATCCTAAACACCCTCCGGGTTGGATTGCTGCTGCAAGGTTGGAAGAAGTTGCTGGCAAGATTCAGGCAGCAAGGCAGTTGATTCAAAGAGGTTGTGAGGAGTGTCCCAAGAATGAAGATGTGTGGTTGGAGGCTTGTAGGCTGGCAAATCCAGAGGATGCCAAGGCTGTTATAGCTAGGGGTGTAAAATCGATCCCTAATTCTGTGAAGCTGTGGATGCAAGCCGCAAAATTAGAACATGATGACGTGAACAAGAGCAGGGTATTGAGGAAGGGGTTAGAGCACATTCCTGATTCAGTCAGGCTTTGGAAGGCAGTTGTGGAGCTTGCTAATGAAGAAGATGCAAGACTTTTGCTTCACAGAGCTGTGGAATGTTGTCCATTGCATGTTGAATTGTGGCTAGCTCTTGCAAGGTTGGAAACTTATGATAATGCTAGGAAGGTTCTTAATAGGGCAAGAGAGAGGTTACCAAAGGAGCCAGCCATATGGATAACAGCTGCAAAGTTAGAAGAAGCTAATGGCAATACTAAAATGGTTGGTAAAATTATTGAAAGAGGTATAAGGGCTTTGCAAAGGGAAGGACTGACTATTGATAGGGAAGCTTGGATGAAGGAAGCTGAGGCTGCAGAACGTGCAGGATCTGTTGCGACTTGCCAGGCTATAATTCAAAATACAATTGCAATTGGAGTGGAAGAAGAAGATAGGAAGAGGACATGGGTTGCTGATGCTGAAGAGTGCAAGAAGAGGGGCTCTATTGAGACAGCTAGAGCTATATATGCTCATGCCCTCACTGTCTTCTTAACAAAGAAGAGCATATGGCTCAAGGCAGCGCAACTTGAAAAGAGTCATGGAACTAGGGAATCCCTTGATGCTTTACTTCGTAAAGCGGTTACTTACAGACCACAGGCTGAAGTTCTTTGGCTTATGGGTGCGAAAGAGAAATGGCTTGCTGGGGATGTGCCTGCAGCTCGTGCAATCCTCCAAGAAGCTTATGCTGCCATTCCCAATTCTGAGGAAATATGGTTAGCTGCTTTCAAGCTGGAGTTTGAAAATCATGAACCTGAGAGAGCTAGAATGCTGTTGGCCAAAGCTCGTGAGAGAGGAGGTACAGAAAGAGTATGGATGAAATCTGCAATTGTTGAGAGAGAACTGGGAAATATTGATGAGGAAAGAAGGTTGTTAGATGAAGGACTGAAGCTTTTCCCTTCGTTCTTCAAGTTGTGGCTGATGCTTGGTCAGCTTGAAGAACGACTTGCTCAGGATTCTAAACAGCATGATAAGCATGAGGAACAGCTTGAGCACTTGAAGGAAGCTAAGAAAGTTTTTGAGTCTGGACTGAAAAACTGTCCTAATTGTATTCCTCTATGGCTCTCTCTTGCGAAACTTGAAGAGGAGATGAATGGATTGAGTAAAGCTCGTGCAGTTCTAACCATGGCCCGGAAGAAAAATCCTCAGAACCCTGACCTCTGGCTGGCTGCTGTTAGAGCTGAATTGAAGCATGGGAATAAGAAAGAGGCTGATATTTTGATGGCAAAAGCACTGCAAGAGTGTTCAAACAGTGGTATTTTGTGGGCAATGTCAATTGAGATGGTTCCTCGCCCTCAGCGTAAAAGTAAGAGTATGGATGCCCTAAAGAAATGTGATCATGATCCTCATGTTATTGCTGCTGTGGCAAAGTTATTCTGGCATGACAGGAAGGTGGACAAAGCTAGAACTTGGCTGAACAGGGCAGTGACTTTAGCACCCGATATTGGGGATTTTTGGGCATTGTACTATAAATTTGAACTTCAACATGGGACTGAGGATAACCAGAAGGAAGTTTTGAAAAGGTGTATTGCTGCTGAACCAAAACATGGTGAGAAATGGCAGGCCATCTCAAAAGCAGTGGAGAACTCTCACCAGCCAACAGAAGCCATTTTAAAGAAAGTTGTGGTCTTATTTGGGAAGGAAGAGAATGCAGCTGAGAATGGTACCAAACATTGAATAGCAGGTTAATATCTTTGTAGCTTCTGTCTGTAATTGTGTTCGAGATTCATGTAATGTAATGTCGCATTTAATTGTGACCGCTGGTTGTATCTCATGTAATATTTGAGGCTGCAGTGATGATTATATTGCCCAGAAATTTTATGGTTAGTTAACCTTGCATATGAGTTATGGTCTTTCCGCATTTACATTCATATTTTCAAGTAAAAACCTGCAGTTAGGTAGAATAGAACTTTTGATTCTTTTTTAGTCAGGTATTCTTTAATGAGCTCTTTTTATTGTGTAAAGAAACATATTGTCACTTCATGAGATCTCTCTCTCTCTCTCTCTCTCTGTGTATCTATATGTATATCACTTATTTTTTTGGGCCAAATTTATGTTGCATTCTTTTAATACGGGCTTGATTATTCATTCTGATGAGATTGTATGTTGGTGTTATTTGAGAATCATCCGTGTGGTTTGAGTCGACTTATGAGCTTGAAATCTCCGATTTATAAGGTTGCATAGACAGTCTACTTATGTGTGTTTCTTCTGGTTGGCTTTGCATGCCTTCGATAATCCTGGAGATTTCACCGAATTGTGCTTGATTTAATTAATTGTTGCATGTGGATTTTCTATCTATATTTCTTTCTTAACTTACCAATGAGATTTAGTTTGAGGTTGGATCAGCTAAGCATTAGAAAACCATGGTAATTGTAACTTTGTGAGAACGGAAGGTTCTTTCTATCTATCGAGGAGTTAGGAGCTGCTTTCATGTTGAGGATAAACGGAATGTCAGGTTGGAGAGTTTGTATTTGATAATGCGCTGCTTGACACATTGATCCTGCAGACTCACTCAGTTGGAGCATAGTATACATGGTAGATTATAGAGACCGTTTACATGTTTTCTTTCCCCCACTGATGCCGGTTTTGTGTGATTGGCAATTTAGAATTTTTTCCCCTTTCCTGTGTATCTTTGCTCTTTTATTTTGATTTGCATTTTACATTCTAATTCTTACGTGTTTTGGGTAGCTTCGAAAATTAGGTGTGTTCTTGCTTCTTACTTCATTGGTTATGTTTCAAACATTTATGCTGGTCTTATGTTTATTATTTGCTAGTTCGTATGCGGGGAGTTTCTCCTATTCATTCTCCATGACAAGTTATAATTGCAGCAACAAACACTATTTTGTTTGTTTTGCAAAGCAAATAAAAGCCCCAGTTTCCAATAAACATGTACATATGGAAAATGCTTGCTAGTCTAAACCTAGGAACTATGTGAAAGTCAATTGATTACATTACATGTACTCTGCATCTTGTAATTGCTTCTTGTGATGAATGATTATCCAATGATGAGCTCTACTAGTAATGTAATATTTAAGCCATCAATATTTCAGGTCTATGGATCAATAACGAGGAAGGCCATTGGAGAATCGATGGCTATTGGCTCAATCAGGATGGTGTCTGCACACGCGGTCGGCAGATCTGCACTTGGGCTACCAATACTTTTCCTGGTCATATTAAGAGATATATTGTCATGCACAATCTTCAATATGACTTGCCTTTGACTGTCTCTTTATAGTTGTTTTGGTCTACCCAGTTTTTGTAAAATGGAGTTCGCTTAGTACTCTCTTAGATTTGGATCCTCTAGAGTTCTGAGAGAAATCTATAAGGTAAACTTAGAAACATGTACTTAATTGTTGAGACTTAAGTGGGATCTGCTGATTATTTGATGAGTCTCCTATGTTTTGTCTTTCTCTCCTTGAACGTTGTAGGACCTAAATCAGAACTCTTCTAACCCATCGAAGCAACGATGTGTTTCTGTTTTACTGAAAATACCAGAGAGAAGGAGCTTCGCTTGATGATGTGACATTTGTGGGACTCCTCATGGCATGCATCCACGGAGGCTTGGTTGAAAAAGGAAAACAAATCTTTAATGCAGTGACAAATGATTTCTATATTACACCCAAACTAGAACACTATGGTTGCATGGTTGGTCTCCTAGGCCGCCGTGCTGGGAAATTGAGAGAAGCTTATGAAGCCATACTACGTATTTGATTTATCTCAGATTTATGCATTACTGATATGGTTTTATCTCCTTAGAATCGTGTTCTGATTGATGACATCCACTCAATTCAATGTTTCACTTGGGGCTGTTTCCCCTTTGTATTGTCGGATTTTATTTTTCTTGGCTTTTGAGCCTAACTAGCAACCGAGCTCTGATGGTTTTAGAGCACAGTCGTTTACTCTGGCTTTGATTAATTCCTTTGCGTGTTGTTAGAGAAGCTTCTTTAGCTTTAAAAGTTCTATTTTCATCTACTAAGAAAATTACAAATGGAGTTGTTGGTTAATAATATCAAAGTTTGTTTTTTTTTTTATTTAATACAATTTAAACATACGTGTATAAGCATTTATAAACATGTAAACGGTAAATTCAAGTTTGGAATTTTATTCAAGTGTAATGGGAGGCCAGCTAATGATTTGGGTCTATTAGTAATATAACGCAGAGATGATGATAAAAGTAATGTGAAATGAAATCCAAGTGAAATTGAGAAAATTAACGTGAAATGAACTTCAAGTGAAATTAAGAAATGAAGAATTTACTTTTATTCTTATTTGGGTGATAGTGGCTCATTTTGATGAAATATGGAGGCTGGAAAAATGCTTTTGAAAACATTTTGTTGGTTAATATTTTTCATTTGGACCAATGATAATTCACATTTCCTTCTGGTTAACCCAAGGGCTCACTACGACATGCAACGTCTTTAGACTTGCATTTATTGATCTTTGACAAGTTGCATGACATTATTGATAAATTTTATTGATTAAGTATAATTATGGAAAGTTGAAAGTGATGCAAGTTTCAGAGTTCTCTTGGTTGTCGTTAAAGAGAGATCAAGAGATTTTATGTGCCCCTCTTATAAAACTTTTATTTCAATTTAACTAATATATTATACATCAGTACTAGTTTGCATTCTCCACATTTAAATTTGAATATATTAAATTCACAATCCTGATATCTCAAGTCCGTGCGGTAATATGACATCACCAAGCAGAGTAGCAACAAATATAAAGTCCAGCAGATGAGAGAAGGGTTGGTGACAGCTTCCCATCTCATGGGAAATTAACAAATTGTTTATGTGATTTGAGGTTGGGGAACATTGCTTCAGACATGAGATCCCATATATCAACGACTGTTCAGTTTCCGACCTTAATATTTAAAGAAGAGATTCCTAGGTTGATGAGTGAAACTTATCCTAAAAAGAGTCAGAAACAGGGGAAAAAAAAAAAAATCCCAAGAAGCCATGCTAGCAGCACATGATTTTCTGCCTTCTTGACCCATACCATATGGGTTCTCAGTTTTCATGTTAGAAATTTCTCTAGAATAGTAACCAGAAAATCCCAATAACGATGGTACTGCAAGCCAGCTTTCAGAAAATTGAAAAGTACATTCCTTTTCTTTTTTTTTTTTTTCCTTCCACAGCTGCTTCTGTGTCTGTATGTGCGTGTGTGTGTATAGGGTAGCAGCAGAATCCCATAGTGTCAAAGATCCACATATTTACTCTTCTCGAGAAAATTTGTGGTTTTTTTTTCCATGAAGACCTCTCAACACAATCGATTCAACAGCGTACCCTCTGCTTCTCATCCTCTCATATCACAGATTGAAGAGCATTTGCAAAGATTGAAGTCTTGAGATTCCACTTCTTCATCATCATCAATTAGCCTGCAGGATTTGCATGGCTATGCCACTCAGATGCTGCAAAGTTTCTGTGGGTTGATGAACTGCTAGAAAGGTCTCTGAGGATCTTGGATGTTTGCAGTAACTTCTAAAGATGCCTTGCTACAATCAAAGGAAAGCATACACGAACTTCGGTTAGCAACACTCACATGATGCTGGAAAATACTTATCATCAAGGAAAAATATCAAGAAGGCCTTTGAAAATGTGAAGAAAATGAAGAAGTTATTTGACATATGCTACATTTTCTATATGTTACTATTGTCCGATAGAATGTAAGTTTTAGAAAGGGTATCTTAGTAAATAACTAGGAGTTAGTTACGAGCCGAGAAAGTTATATATCGTGTACCTCCACTATTACCCTTTTTGTCGAATGAATTCTGCACTCTCTCTCTTTTCTGTTATCATTATTCTTACTCCCTAAGGCAGACACTGAATATTCTATGATTAGCAGCTTAAAAAGAAGCACAAGTTGTCACTCTTACCCCGCTAGAATCTTTCTATCTTGTCCTTGGCTTGAAGATACAACCAAAGCAGAGAAGATGGTCAATGGTTTCCATGTTGATGCAGCTTAAAAGAGTAGGTTGTGACCCAGAAAATTCAGACACAAATGAATTTGAAAAGGTACAAACCTCGAAGTGGTATATTAGTTGAGGATTTTCTGAATCACATGGAAAAGTGGGAGTTGTGCATTGAGGTTTCAGAGGCGGGTAAGAGCAGAGCTTCAAAGGCAATTGATTACAACAAGAGTTTCTCGTTTATTTTTTTGCCAAACAGGAGTTTCTCTTCTGAACGTCCCCATCAAATACTGATTTTGATACGAGAGTTCCATGCTTGTTAATGAATGTAACTAAAAGTGAACATATATAAGGGGGGGGGGGAAATCCAAATCTGGCTAATTTTTTATCCTTAATCCTTCCTTAAATACTTTCTGTGCAGTATCTCAGATTTTCTTTTGTATTAATTTCAATTCTCACTGCAAAATTAGTAGAAGAAAGAAGGAGTTGAGGCAGAAAAAGTAAACCAAAACTGATCGTTTGGAAAACTCATAACTGGCACGCTAAGTTGGAGCAATAATGTGGAAAGTATGGGCAATAATCTTTATACTTTTCTCATTTGAATAAGAAGATATTGTGAAATTCACATATTGACATTTATAGAAATTATGATTTGCCCTACTCTGACTTCGAGTTCTAAACTCATGATGCATTGAGGCGGTGAGTTAATCACAATGGCAATAGCTATGATAGATGCACCATTATGAGAATCAAAGGTTTCAATTATAAGTTATGACTCAAATTTCAGAAGTTGAATGCAATGAACAACGTGCTTCTCGTCTTTTGGTTACGAGGACAAGCAAATCAGGATCTGATTTCCTCATGCTATCTTCCTATATTACAAGCAGAGGTCTAGCATAAAATTATGAGTTATATAGATAACTAGCATCAACTCCCCGTGCTTTTACTTCAATATAATCAATAATCCCAACTCATTACAATCTTTATCATTCTATAGCATCATTACAATTCATGAACAATTAATGGCACCACAATTCTCACGATATAAATAAATTTCAACTTGCTAACTAAATAACCCTATGCTTCCTTCCTTTAATCAATTTGAAAACAGAAATTCTACTACGTTAGATATTGCTAGTAAGGCATCACCTAGGCAATGCACAGAATGAATTTGCTTCTATGTGATTAACGGTTTAATTTCATTCCAATAATCATCACAAAAACCACTAAAAAATGTACTTATGCGAATTATCCATATATATATATATATATATGTGCATATATGAGAAAGAAACATACTGATTATTTCTGCTTTGTTCCTTTTAAGATGATAGGAAGGATATGATAAAAATCATCCTCCATGACTAAATAAAATTAAATGATCACTATAAACCATAGAGCATTCTTTTTTACATCCTATTGAAAAACATTCTTTAGTGTCGATCTTCACCTGACAATATGTTAATATAAATTGATAAAATAATATTATTAGAGTACAGGGCACATTGTTTTTTCAACCCAGTATTTAATAGGTACCTCTCCAATGTTACGTGGCACATATTCTGCCAAGAAAAAAAGATGAGAAAATAATTTACTGGACTTATATGAACGTCTGCAATAACGGCCACTTAATGTGATCCTCATCATGGTAATGTCCCTTATATATGCAAATAATGCTTTTACGGTGTTGATAATTTACTATTCAAAAGTTCCCAGAGGGCAAAGCATGTATTAATAACTTCAAGACTACAAGTCTTTCTGATGGAGCTAAGTTCTATTACCACTGAATACTATAAAAAAAAGATACAACACTCCTTCAATAGAGAAAGAAAGGGGTTTGATGCTAAGACAGAATGTAAATACCTAGCTATAGTTCTGGAAAATATAAATGATAGCCACAGTAGAGAAAATAGCAACTCTAACATAAAATGGTAAATAAGGACTTCCCTGACGTTCGAGAGGTTAGAGGCTCTCCCAATCCCTCCACATTTTTCTCTGCCTCTTCCAATCGAATGTAACTAAAGAAAACTAACCCTGGGTGGGCTTGTTGGGCTGCAACCTGTTACTTGGGCCCATTCTTCGGTCCTGACTAACCTCTGATGGTTTGGATTGTCTCTTCTTGTAAACCTAGCTGGTCTCAATGTTAGGACATTATTGCCCCATCTACAAGATTCACCTTGTCCTCAAAGGGAAAATGAGGAAACTGGAGTTGAATGACCTGCTTATCTTCCTAGGTATTGTCACAGTCAGGTTGTCCACGCCATTTAATTAATACCTGTTTGTTGCTATTAGTCATCTTTCTCGCTTTGATCACATCTTGACCTCAACATGTAATTCATAATCTGCTAATAAAAATTCCAATAGTGGTTGAACATTGTCAGTGGAAAAAACTGACTTTTTTAGCTGAAAACCAGATGTATCTTTGCTGCCTCTGGAAGTTTAAGCCTGTAGACCATCTTGCCTATCTTCTGAATAACAACATAAGGTCCATAATACCGAGATGAGAGCTTCTGATGATGCCTCTTGGCTAAATGCTTCAACTTGTAGGGCTAAATATGCAAGTAAACACAGTCTCCCACCTTAAATTCTAAGTCTCTATTCTTTTATAGCTTGGTCTTGCATTTTTTATTATGCTTGCTCAAGATGAGATTTCAAAACTTGCAGCATCTCATTCTGCTCCTTAAGTTATTCATTCACCTCTTCCACTCTTGAAAATTCATCTTGCTATTTAAGAACAGCAGGGGGATCGCATCCATATAGGGCTTTGTATGGCGTAGTGTTAATTGACTGATTATAAGAAGTATTAAACCAGAATTCAGCCCAAAGAAACATCTTTACCCATTTCTTTGGGCATCCTTCAGTGAAACAGTGCAGATAACTTTCTAAACTTCTATTAACTACCTCGGTCTGGCCATCAATTTGGGAGCGATAGTGGCAGCTATACTTTAAGGTGGTTCTCAACTAGGTAAACAATTCCCTCCAAAATTGACTTATGAAGATTCTATCC